TCTGAAACAAAAAAACCAATCTTCTTCTTTAATTTTATATAACTACCTTCTAGTTAAACTAAAAAAAATTAAAAGAAAAGCCAAAATTAAAAATTTTATACGACTTAGAAACAAAAGTTACGATTTTCACGAAAAAATTTCAACTTTTTATTGCAAAAAAAATAATGTAACTTAACTTTTTTCAAAAACATTTTAGTTTAACTAGAAGAGATACTAATTATTTATAAAACAAGCCTAGAAACAGTTCAATTGATTTATTAGATTTTTCTCTATCGTGTACACAAATTAAAAAAAACCTGTTTTGAAAAATCGCGTTTTGAGCTGCTTAGATTACAACGGTGCTGCTCTACAAGTCGCTGCTTGTCGTATGTGTGTGCAAAATTTTGATCTGTTAATCCAATTCTGATGTCCAACAGGTTTATCATCTTCAATACACTGCTGTACCCTTCATTGAAGACGTATGCGGCGATGAAGGAAGGATAATTTTCGAGCTCGTATTCAAGTACTTAGGAGCTAAACGCTACACAGTAGAGTTGAAACTTTCAATGAAATTTTGTGTGTCTACCTAAGCAGCTTGTCAGAAGTTCATCATTTGATAGGTCTTTATATACATATGTATAGGAAGCAAATATTTCACGACATCCGAGTGAAATGGAGGGAGATGTTCATAAGCTTCAGTTCCACCAGCTGCCTCAGCCTTGTGCCATTCACACCAGCTATTGACTCCGGGCGGACAATTTTCATATTTTTGATTTTCATTCATGGAGGTCAAATGATCCAGTGTTGTTTTTATTACTTTTTTCATATCTTCCACAGAATTTACATTTCCTCGAATAGCCAGTCCATAATATTTCGTTAATTTTCTAATCAGTACATCGGTTAATTTCCCTTTTTCGCCGAGGTCTTTTTCTTTTTTTATATTTCGGAGTCACGTGTCCATTCTTTTTTCAACGTGTCCAACGCGCTCGTTTTGTATTACTGGACAGTCATCACCATATAGATTCATATTTAAAATAGCCTTGTATGTTTGGAGTCACCGTCCCCAGTACAATTCACGTATTTCACTCCGAATTTCTCGATTGATCTTGAAAACATTTCTTTGAAACGCTTCAATACAATACTTCCAGATGCACCTAAAAGTTCCTTCCTTTCATTAATGGATAGACAAACTACGTAACGACCATTATTTTCTCAATAAGTATTATCTGTAAAGTGTTTCTCACATTCTAATTCCTCTACTGAAAAGAATTGTTTATGCGGAATTTCTTCAACCTTCCAAAACCGCTCTACTTGTTTATCTAGAAAGGTAACTAAGTAACTTGATTTCATACCCTCCAAATCGCTGAATGCGTTTTACGTACCAATTGCCCCTGTGACTAGCCATTTTAAGCGGGTGATGCCACGGAAATGCTCTCGCACCTCTTGACAAAATCGGTCGGGTCCTGATCGGCCTTGATCAGTCGGGGCGACAGGAATTCGGCGGGTAGGCGTAATGTATCGCCGTACACCAATTCTACCGCAGTTGATTGTAAGTTTTCCCGCCAGGCTGCGAATATGCCATGCAAAATGGTGGGAAGAACCTCCGATTAACGGGTGTTTGAATGGCAGCGAATTGCTCCTTTTAGTTGCCGGTGAAATCACTCCTCCATCTTGCTTGCTGTTGGGTAGTAGGCTGTTACCCTTAAGTGGACGGTACTTACAATGCAGAGCTGGAAAGATTTCTCGCAGAACGGTACATTTCAAGAGGGGTACTTCACTCGCGCGGCTTAAATCTCACGTTACGCAATTTCAAATGATCCGATTGGTCGATGTTATCGCGTTGGCCAATAATGACAATACACGGGCTCTATTTCTATGATTGTGTTAGAGAAGGTGGATTTATGGG